TCAAGAAGAAAAACAATGCTTCCTGCCAGAACCAGAGTTATCTTTTCTTATCATTAAGTCACAAAGGGAAGAAGCAATAAATAACAGTACACCAAAAAATGGTTGTTCTAATGAGCAAAAATAACTCTGTCAAAATAGGTACATGTGGCAGACACTTATCCAAAAATACAGAACTGAATATAATAGTCCAGTGGTTTTAAAATGAATGTGTGCTCTGGCATTCGCAGCCAAACTCTCATCCCACAGGAGGCCCACAGGCTGCAGCCAGGACAGGCTCAGGACATGATGGCTCAGATCTCCTCATTGCCAAGGCTGCTCAGAAGCCCACAAGCCCCTCACAAGCAGATCAGGGATGCCACATTGGTGTCACTGCCCACCACAATGCACACTGTGCCATTAAGAGCTAACCAGATGGTCTGACCCTGGCAGCAGCCTCAGCAGACACAGAGACCATAGAGGGACTGCAGCATGTCAGGCTGGTGAGTAGGAGCAAATGAAAGGAAAGGCAGCAGAGAACAAGGGCAAGTCCCATGCTGCCTTCCTTCTCAGCTTTCTCATCTCATCCACTTCTTTGAAGTAGGAGATGATAGACAAGAAAAAGAAATGGATCTGAAAGGGATCTTGCAGGGCAATTCTTTCAGGCAGGTTTGTCCAGCTCAATGCTCTTTTATCAAAATCAATTGCACAACTAAGTTACTTTGGTGGTGAGCAATCTCCTCACCAATTTCAAACTCACTCAGAAAACAGTCTGCTATGAATCAGCTCTCTCCTCCTAATCTGTAATAGGGTCACTGCTGTATCCTGCTTTACTCCACACCGCAGCACCCTTTGCTCCAGTATGACAGGGCAGAGCCCAGTGCCAATGGCACGGCCATTTGTTGGCAGGAAACACCAGCTCTAAAAACTCTAGTGTTTAGAAGAAACGCTCAGTTTACTGAATGTCCACAGCACCCAGCCAGCAAACTCTTTGTTTCACTCTGCTGCAGGTCACATTCAGGGGGTTGGAACTAGATGATCTTAAGGTCTTTCCAACCCTAACTATTCTGTGATTCTCAGACTCTTCCCAGTTCCCAGTGGTGCACCCTGTGTTCCCTCCTGTCTGGACACTGGCACAGCCCTGAATCTACCTGGGCCATGCAGAGCCACAGCAGCACCACCAGCCCCATGCCATGGGTATGGCTGCTGTCTGGACCACATGGGCACAGGCAGCTTGAGCATGGTGACCCCTTTCTGGCAAGTCTCAACTCCCAGCACTTGGGCAACCTGACCGTGAAGAGAGGATGCTCTGACATCTGCCTCTGCTGCAAAACCTGAATTTCATGTTGCCATCTTCCAGGGCACAGTGCCAAGCAGCAGCACCAGCAAACTGGGACTCTATAGCCCATCAGTAGCTCAAGCTGACAATAGGCACAGCAGAGCTAACCTGGGCAGCCACTCTGGAGAGTGGGGCTTCACTAGTCCCCTGGAAAGCTCCCAGTGCTGCCCACACCTGGCTTGTCAGAGGGAGGTGGAGGAGCAGGGGCCCAGGTTCCCACAGCTCACCAGATGCTTGTTCCTGCTCAGAAAATGCATACATACATCACAAATCAAACCCATTTTGGAGGCAGGCGGGCAGGGACACGTTAGATCAGCCTGTTCTCCCCTTCAGAGCAACAGCACCAGTGAGGGGATAATGAATCTCGGCAAAGGAAATAAGAAGAAAGTGATCTGTGACAAAGGGGAAATGAAGGAAAGCAAATGCATCTCCATGAGCAGTGGAAATGCTGAACTGCTGATGTTGAGGTCTTCTCTCTGCCTTCTAGACCACTGCTGCTGACCTTCCTGGAGCTGTGCACATTTTTTGTAGGGGACCTACTGGGGGGTTCAAAGCATCCTGAGGTCTTCTCTCTGCCTTCTAGACCACTGCTGCTGCTGGAGCTGATGTGGGACTGCCACCTGAATGGGCCCACAGTCCCATTCACAGAGCAGTGAGTGCTGTGGTTTCCAGACAGTTTTGTGATTGTTATAACAGGTTTTCAGTCTGAATCACAGTAATTCTCTCATGTTCCATAGTTCTGTTCCACCAGCAATGCTGAGAATACATGGCACTGTGCCCCTGTACCTGCTGACGTTGTGACTGCTCTGTGGTTGCAGTACCCTGAACTGCTGTCTTGGGCAAGTGCATTTCCCCTTCCCACTTTCCAGGTTGTCTTAAAGCAGCTTCAGAAGTGATTCTGCATTGTCTGTCTGTGCATTACAAACCAGCCTTTGAGATTAATTCCTTGTTATTAGAGTATACTCAGTATAGAGCTTGGTTTAAATGCTTCTCTTGAGTTTCCAGGGACTGATTTTGCCTTTCTTAGGCTGCTTGTTGGTGGAAGCTTATAAATTAGTTACTGACTTAGTACGCCCAGCTCGTTGATCCCCAACCACTGTCATTTTCATGTCATGGTCCTTGTTAGTACTTTAGTTTTCAAAGTCACCCAGCTCCTGGGTTGTGATAGTTTCACCACTGTACAGAAAACACTTCACTTTGCATCATCCTCAGATGTTGTCCACACATTCCTATTGTCTGTATCAAGGCAATCACTAGCAGTATTAACCATGAGCAGGCAAAATGAAGCCTGAAGGGAGCTCAAAACATCTCTTTGGTGTGATGCTTCCCATCCACAGCTTGGTGCTGTGGTCACCAGACAAGGGCAGCTGTGTCTCCCATGAGCCTGGTGAGGCTTCAAGGGAGGGACAAATCATGTTACCAGGCACAAAACAGCTGGTTGTGATCATCAGGCTCACCAGGATATGTCAGAGCAACTCAACACCAGCTACCAGTAGGCAAAGCTACGATGAAGTGTTACCTGCAGAGACCTTGTGTGTCTCCAGATGTGGCTCTGGGGTCTCTGCCTGATTGCTGGACACCACTGGGTCAGGATCCTCATGCTTTTCTTTTCTCCACCTCGGCTCCTTACCAGCTACCCTCTAGGCTCTTGCAGCTCCTTCTGGCCCCTTTCTTCCATCCAGTTGCAGGTTTTATCACCTCTGCCTTGGAGCAGTGATGCTCACTTGGTGTTTTCCCCTGCCCCCGCAGTTCTCAGCCTGTCTCAGCCCTGTGAGCGCTGTCACCGTGTGGCACAGTGCAGGTGACTTGTGCTGTTTTCTCACTTCCTTGCTGGCAGCTCTCCATCAGGGTAGTCTGGGGGCACTACTGAGAACCAGCGCGTGTAAGAAGAGCAAGGGCTCTGTTTGGTGGTCTTTGCCCCCTGACTCTATTTTGTCTGCCTTATTTAAAAGCCTTGTTGCTGGTGTGAGATTTCATGTGCCAATTCCTTTAAAATTCTGGACTTTCTGGGTTCTTCATCCTTACTGAAAGCTGTGACAAAGCAATAGGGTGGTTTTCAGGCCATACCTGGACAAGTTTGCTGGTTTTAGCAGCAGCAGTACCAGGTGATCTCACTTGTTTGCTTGTAATTTATAGGTAGTTTTTCATGTCTAAGGGAAGAAGTTGCTGAGACCTGTTTGATCTTTGTCCTTCTTGATCTCTAAGATTTAACTCTGTTTTGTACAGTCATTTTTCCTTCCTTTGTAAGCTCTGCCTGATGTCCTGCTTGAGGTTGTTTCTCAGGCAAAGAAAGCCCTTCTTGTGAGGTTTTCCTGTGTTCCTGGTAGGAACTGCTAATGACAGCTTCCAGGACTCTCTGTATGGCTTGCAGCCTCTCCATACTCCCACAGCATCAACACAGTGAAATAATGCCTCATGCCAGCCCCTGCCTTTTCTGCTTAGAAGGGCCAAAACTGCTGAATCTTGATGGCTGCTCACACAGAAGCAAGAATCTGGATTACTTTCCTTGCATGTTATTTTTGCTTTTTGTTTATGTCCCCCCTGCTCCCCACAGCCTAAATTTTTACTGCAGCATCAATTTCCTCATTTAAAGTTTAAGCCATTGTCAGCATCTTTTCCTTTCAAGGGACAGAGAGATTCTATCTTGCTGGAACATCAGCAGAATGCAGTGGTCCAGCTCTGCTTGTTGGAGCTCTGATGGACTGTGGCTGCTGCCTCCTACTGTTGTGAGCCAGGCTTCTGTGCAAGGAAATACGAAAGATGTGTGGATAGCAGTGTTACCTATTCCAGTGCTGTGTGGATAGCAGTGTTACCTATTCCAGTGCTGTGTGATGGCTGCTAGTTTGTTGCGGGCCAGGTTCCATGGTTTGTTGTGGCAAAGGTGCTGTTCCATTTACTGGGAGCGCTCATGGAGCTGAGGTTTTGTTCTGACTGAAGACAGGTGTCAGAAACCCACCATTAACATCATTCTAACTTGACATGTAAAGCAGATGCTAATGTTTGTCCCAGGCAGTATCTGCGCCTTCAGGTAATCAGAAAGATCCTTGCTCATCTTAGGGTTGCACTGGAAGCACCCTGTTGTAAGGCAGCTTTTATATCATGTTAGCTAAGTCTCTTTTCACAATCTCTGGTATAAGTTTAGCATTAATAATAGAGGACTCTGATGTATAATGGTGATGAATGAATATTTATTTATAGATATAATACTATGAAATAGCTTTATTATCACTTGCTAAAAATGCTTCCTTTTTTGTTTTCCTAGCAGTCAGTGCAAACAACAAAAACCATTACTTCATGATGACTGGGATTGTGAAGTCAACAATTTCTATTTTACAATGAGAAAAAGAAACACTTAATGCTTTTAATGTAGAACATGAACAGTGGGAGGCCTCAGTTTGCTTCCTACAAGAGAAAACCCCTCACTTCATACAGCTCTGTATGCAGCAAGCTTGGCTATGTGTAGGAATGCCAGCTATAAATGCTTTAGCACATTTGTACTGGTTTTGGCATCAACAGGGAGTAAGCGGGCAGGTGTGTGGTGCTTAGCTGCTGGCTGGGGTGCAGCCATGGAAGCTGTTTAGTTTATTTAATAGAGCGCCTTGTCTGTGATCCTTCCTGGATTTGAAAACTCTGTGCTTGGGGAAGAAATTGCTCTGAAATTCTTTGGTTATAAAGCAGTAGCAAATGGTATCTCAACAGCAGTTTTTATTTGCCATCCTACGAGGCCTACCCAGGAGGCCACAGACACAAACGCATTACCGTTTTGTATTTCAGAGTAGACAACTTCATTGGAGCTCACTGGAAATTGGGCAAGGTGCCCCATGGCAACAGGCAGAAAGCATGAACATGACAGGGTCTGGAGAACAAGTATGTAGTTTGCTTTCTGGGTTAACAGTAGGGTAACAGGTTGATATGGCTCAGCCTTCATCTCTCTTTGAAGTAATTAACATTTTCATAATAATCTGTTTGGAACAGGCACTCATTATAACCAATGAGATGCAGAAGCCCAGAAGGGGATCCTACAGGAAAGAGCATTTTTGAAGGCCCTCTGTGCTATTTCTGAAAGCAGAAGATGTCTTCCTTGCTGAACACCTCTTGCCTGGACACGTAAGTGATGCCTGTCATGGGCATTGACAGCACACCATAAAGGAGAATGGGCTAACAGGAACCCTAAGCCCCTTGCTCTCCAAGGATAGTTAATAGCAGTGTATTTGCTGACAGCTACAAGGGTGACAACACTCGCGCATCTCCTTAAGCACCAGATGATTCGTCAGTTCAGGCACAATTTGTGTCTGGTTTCTTTTGCTCTCTTTGAAAAGAGACTTTAAAAGGCAGAATGAGGGCCAAGCAGTGTGTGATGTGATTAAGTTGGTCACATGCGCTCTGCTTGCAGTGAAAGACCATCAATGTCAGAGCATTAAATAATACATCAAAGAAAATTGGTACATAAATGATCAACTGACTGACCTGAATGGTTTCATCCATTTTTCTGCTGAGCTTCCATCATGCTGGGTCCTGTGCCAAGGTATTGACACAAAGCAGTTAGATCTAATGTTCGGATGAGGAGTGTTTTCTGTGATGGGAATGGTTGTTTCCTATGTTGTTTGGCTGGTGTCTAGACAGTGGTTTCAGCATGTGGTCTGCAGACACTAGAAGGTGACAGAACACTTTTAGGGAAACTATTTGTAAGTTGTCACCAAGAAAGTTAGTTGTCTGTAGGTTTAAATGAGCAGAATATGGATTTGCATTCCCTGGAGGAATATTTTAGGTATTTACAAGACAGAAGATGCTCAGAGTCAAGGACCATGAAGCCAAAGGAGATACAGCTATCACATGCATTTCAACAACTCTATAATGTTTCCCATGCTGACTCTATGGGGCACTTCCTTCTAGTGGGCCAAGATTTCCATTTGTGGTTTAACTGTTTTGAGCTGCTCTGTTGTCACTTCCCTGTGGTTCCAACTACAGTAAGTAGCAGTAGGGAAATAGCTTACATCAAAGGCTGAAGCTGCCGCATTGTTATGCTCATTAACTGCATCAGGCAGACGTCTTTGCTGGCGTGGCTGATGCCCAGATTGCTTTCATCAGCTCTGGTCTGCAATGCCAGCAGCAGCCTCTGTGCTGGAGTACAAGGCAGGCAAACCGGGCTGGTGTGCTCTGCTGCATGAAAGGGCTGTGGCTGACACCACCCTTAGAGCTGGAGATGTGGCCCGAATGCAGTTCCCAGCATCGGGGCTCAGAAGTGCTCCAGGCAGATCAGAGACTGGTGGGAGGAGGGAGGAAATGAGCAGAGAGTTTTAAAGCAGGCCATGTAGCACAGATGGGTATGGCTGAGCACAAAATATCTTTAAAAAGATGCAGTCTGACAAGCTAGCATATCCTGTGGCTGCTGGAAATGCTTTACGGTGGGGTAGATAAGGTGGCTGCAGCATCAGAGGAGCTAGGCAGCAGCGTGCAGCTGTGAGAAAAGGATGGAGATGGCTGTATAACAGCATCTTGCTGCTGCTGGAGGACCAGGAACAGTCTGGGCCTCAACGTACGAGGTCAACAGTACTGTGGCGTGTGTCCTGCTTTCCCCCCATCATAGACTGGGGAGAACTGGGCAGTAGCCATCCCCCTCCATGGAAGGCCAGGGTGGGCTTGTTTCCTCCAGCAGCTCAACAAGTATCAGGCTTCTTCCAGACCCTTAACAGAGCTTGGAGGAAGAGAAGCAAGGCAGAGGCTGAAGGCACTGTGGGTGCCACAGTAGCACTGTGGTGGCAAACATCCAGTGGTTTTCCCAGCAGGATGCCCATGAAGAAGCAGATGCACCAGACCACTTGCATGCAAAATCCTCTTCCTTCCTTGTGTGGGGAGCTCGGAAGTGAGCAGGTACAGGAGGGGTGAGGGGTGACTGTGGTGGATGAAATGATTAAGGACAGCACAGGAGGTGTGGTGGGTGAGGGAAGGGACCTGAACTGAGCAGAGGGAGAAGAAAGAAACAGGGTGGGAAGCATGGTGTACAGCATGGCATTTTCTGCATCAACTGCCTTCAAACCTGCCACATCTGTGGCAACAGCCCTGGTTTTCCCTCTCAAAGGGATGGGTAGCTGTCAGCAAATATGTAATATGTATGCTGCACAGGTATGAGACTAGACTTGGGCAGGGCAGTACTTCACAGGGGTGTTAATGTAACCATGGGCACTGCTGGCCAGGCCCTGGGCAGCAAGCTGACCTGGGAGGGAAGCACAGCCAGAAGGAGTGAGCGAACACACTGCCTCTGGGGCAGAAGAGCTCTAGGTGAGGGCCACAGCACTTAGGTGAGGGGCTTTTCCTCTCTGTTTCCAAACAGCATAAAGAAATCTAGAAACTGCCTTCTCTGACCTTGCTGCTGTTGCTCACAGCTCTCAAATACAATGACCTAAGGCACAGCACTTGTTTCTTTTCTTGAAACTTGTGTTCTTTCAGGCTCATCTGTCACTGCATCCCTTGAAAGCAGTAATGTCATCACCCTAACCATGGAACTGCTTCAAAAGACCCGGGGAGTGCATGCAAGGGTTCATTTGGTCAAAAAAGGGAAGTTTTTTGAATCACTTCTCTCCCATGTTAGAATGGATTTAGCTTCCAGCTCCCGGCTCCTGTTAAGAAATGATGTACTGTGATCTTTCAGGTGAAGTGCCCAGAGAATAGCCTGGAGTAAGAACAGAAACTGAAAGAGATGATGACCTACTGCATGGATGTCTGCATCACAGGGACTGCGCTGCCACGTAGAAACCAGGTACCTGATGCTCCTCTTCCTCCTTCCAGCCCCAGCAGGACCCTGAGCAGCAGTTCACAGAGGGCAAGAGAAAATGAACCCCAAGTGGTATTCCCTGTAGGTTTAGGGCCACAGAATCAGCAGCGGGTGTCAGCAGAGGCAGGACATAAGGGGGCTGTGCAGCCATGCATTCTGGCCAGGAGGAGCAGGGCCAGCTGTGGGGCTGCAGGATGGGCACAGGCTCTTTCCTGCATTATCCATCTGAAATGTCACTTTGCAGTACAATCCATCCTCACCTTCAGCGTTCAGCAGCTTGCGGCCTCTGCGCATGTCTGTCAGGAAGAGGCTATTGGCCAGAGTGGACATCCCCAGCCCAGATTTATCTGGGGACCAAAGGAGCAGGTGAAAGCAGGGGTGGCAGTGCCGGCCCAAGGTGGCATCACCTGACTTGGCAAAATGAGCCAATAGACTGCAGAAGCCACAAGCACACACCTAATGATGGCAGGGATGGGAGAAGAAGGGGGACACAGCCATCGCCATGGGGACAGCCCAGGTGCACCATCAGGGGAACCATCCCCTGAACTATTTCAGGTGACTGAAAGGAAAAGGCCATGCAAGGGCAGGAGCTCTGGCATGTGCAGCCTGCGGCTGCCCCATCCTGCTTGTACCTTGCCCCCAGCCAGCTTCCCCACCTGCCCTCTCCCAGCCATACAGAGGATGCCGCTGCCATCCCTTTGCTTGGCGAGCACCATAGTTGCTTTGTTCAGCCCATCCACCTCTGCTCAAGGCGTAAGGACTCCTCTGGTTGCCGTTGCCAAGGCACTTCTCTGTCCTTGACCTGCTGCAGACTGGGTACCGCA